CCCACCCAACTCACTGACGTATTTGTATATTCCTAATAAACTTCGTGATTATTCAATGGTTGATCTAAGATCTGCGTACCGCCCCGTACGGTTAGTAATTACTTTGAGATTAGATAGTGCTAATTAGGGCAGCCTGTCGATTTTCGCAAGTAGCTTCAGGGCTTTGTCCTTTATGTATTTTTTGAGCGGATCTATTATAAGGTCTCTTAGCATATTATCCATGCGGTTGTACTTGCAGCTGCTGGATAGTAGAGTCGGCAGTTTTGCTATATGCCATTATAATATACTATACTAAAGCAATTTACTTATTATGGTATATCAAATTAACAACGAAATGTTCACATGTATATTTCAATTTATTTCGTAATTTTAATAATACATTTCTCATTTGCTTGCATGCGAATAATCAAAATATTTTCAATGGGAAGACCATAAAAACTAAACATTTAACCAAGTTTATCCATATCATTTCGTTTGCTAAACTCTTAGTATGTATTTTCCCATAAGAAAGAGGCATATAGAAGCAATCGTGCCCCGCCGACCACAGCTACAGTTAGGCAAATAAACCCATTTCAGAAAACACCTGTTCACCTGCCAACCAAGTTGCATGCATTAAAGACTTAAGCAAATACGGAAAAAAGATACGAGAAGTTAACATTGTGGATACGTGAGCTGCTGCCAGTGTAGATTGTTATTTTCAATTATTATGATTATTTTAATTCATTCGAAGACAAGAAACGCGAGCAAACAGCACAAGATGCTTTAATATATGCTAAATATCTGTTAAATTGTTTTGGGAAGAGCGCATAACAAAGGTAGGTGCTTTCAGTAAAAGCTGACAAGCGAAAATTTGTTCGTCGAGGCACATATCCAGAGCTCTTCTACCAGTAGTGAAGTTAGAAAGTGTACTTGAGCTTGTTTTTCTCATGAACAAAATTTCAATTTACATAAATTTCTTATATATTTAAACATAAAATATAAAGTATGCTTATACATATTTTGTTGTTGTTTTTCTTTTGTTTTGAATTGTTTACACTCGCATCCAAGGGTGAATGTGTAGGTTGTGCTACATAACAGCACTCAAAACTACATGCTGACATGCTGCCTGCGATGTGCATTTTTCAATGAATTCTGTTAGCATTTCATTTACGGATTTAAGGCAAGCAGCCAATGCAGTGCAAAACTGTTAAGTTTTTTGTATTTAATTTTAAAGTAAAATAAAAAACAAAATGGTACAACTTTACAAAATGCCAAAAATTGTTGAAAAATCGTAAACAAGTCTCAAAATATTATGAAAAAA